TCGGGTGTTCTCCCTATGCCTAGAATTGCGAGCAGAGCTGGCAACCTCCTTCTCTTTGTACTGAATTTACGCTTGTGCTTTGAGGAGGAAGGCGTCCAACGTTGCTGGAGGCCGGATGCCTACGACTTTAGGAAATTTGATGCAGGGACAGAGCCTGTACTCGAGCAAAAACTTTTTCATGTCATCGGTTGTAGAAACCTGTACGACCTCCTTGTTGAACCTTTCAATGTAGGCTCGCAGGGGTTCATCTCTCCCTTGAATTATGGCCTAAAGGAAGGTTTCAGTCTTTGGATGGCGGTGAGAGGTCGTGAAGTGTCTAGAGAAGATTTTCCCCATTTGTCTTCATGAGGTGATGAAGTCATCATGAAGCCCTTTGTACCAGGTCATTGCCCCCTTCCTAAGCATGGTCGGGAATAACCTGCACTTGATAGCGCCTCGGACGCCGCGATAATCGAGCAGCGTATTGATATTTTTGATTTGCTCGTCGAGGTCAGTTGTTCCGTCATATATGCCTAGAGAGGGGGGTTTCTCTAGTTGTTTTGGTAGATGCATGGCCATGATCTCCTGGGACAACAGGCCGCGAGGCTCGTCATCGCTGCTGCTGCTGGTCCAAGGCAGGGAGCGGGTGTCCCCTCTGTATGTAGGACGACAATCTCGTCGAGGAGACGGGGTTCGTGCTCGGCCCTTGGATTTGGGCGGAGGTGAACGTTAGGACTCTGCTTGGTGGCCTCTTCTGGTCCTCTTGGGTTGTGGGGAATGCTGGTTCCAGGGAGAGAAGTGGTCACACTTGCAGACGGTCAGGGTCTCTGCCTTTGGAGGTGTCTGACGATTCCTCTCGCGCCGGGGAGGGAGACTCTGTGGTTACTGACGCTCCTTCCTCAGTGGAGGGGATCTTGGACGACTGGACTCTTCTAATGCTCTAATCCTCACGTTTTGGTTGAGGATCAGGAGGTTGGTCTTGTTAAGAACCTCGAGGAGGGCCGCCATGGCCAGGTCGACACTAGGACTGACAAGTGTTGTGGGACAAGCAGAACTTCATCGTGATCTCCGCGAATAGGGGATGGGAAAGTTATGGCTCCGTCTCTTTGTCGGAGGACGTCGCCATCATGGGAGATGGTTGCCCCATCAGTATCAGCCTTGCTGACGGGGAGGAAAGCAGAGTTACAGGCATCAAGATTATTGTCACGGGCAGCCATGATCAGAAATTTGAAGAATTATTTTGGTCTTGTGTTTACGAAGAGATAAAAGACGGGGATAACAAGATTCCCACAGACGGCGCCACTGGTCTTACGGGTTGATCAGAACTTGAGGTGGGCCGAAGACAAACGTCTATGATGCTGGGTGTGAAAGAGGAGAAGGGGGTGTACATGCAAGGCACTCTGATGCTAAAGTAAGTAAACGAGAGAGAGAGAGAGAGAGAGAGAGAGAGAGAGAGAGAGAGAGAGAGAGAGAGAGAGAGAGAGAGAGAGAGAGAGAACAAGTACATAATATGAGTGTTTCAGGGTGAATATTGGATATCTGACCCTCTCAAGTGAGAGGGTTTTCATAATGCCCCTAGTGCTTGGCCATTGGTCCCTATTTTCGGGGCGAGATAACTGTTTCCCGAAGAATAGGTAACTGCCAAACTAGCCATTGAAACGAGAAGACATGCCCATAACTAGCCGTTGCTACGGGCAGAGGCGTAGTTACAGGCACAAGTGTCTTGGTTGTTTCTGGATGGTGGAACCGTGCGTGACGGGCAGGAACTGTCGAGAAGAAGTGTTGTAACCAAGGGTAAACTAGTCAGTCTCCTCTGTTGGAGGGGCAGAAAGGTAGATTCTCTCCTAAAGTAATTGGACTTAGGCAGTTGGGTTGTTCTAGATGCAGAAGTGGATTGGGCCATGCCTAACCATTGGGTCAGTCCGGAACACATATGAACAGAGGTGAAACTTTATTTGCTTCATGTAGGTACTTATCTCTCTGAGGCCTTAGGCCGCATATGTTTTCCTCAATTTGTCGCTTTTTAGCATGATGCTAGTCGAACCAAAAAGCCTCTCAGTGACCGGATGCACCAAGGGCCAAAATAATCGAGGCATACCATGTATATCGAGCCAGGCTATCCAGTTCTTCCTCCATAACCGATATTGAAAGGTTCGCCAAGTAAAAACAATCCTCATCTAAAGGAGGAGGTCAACGATCCTCGGTAGAACCCGAGCCAGATACCATCAGTAAGGGGTGGAAGTCAAGCTTGGGACATCGGTAAAGTTGGCAAGACCTCTGCAACAACGTCACTCTTAACAAACTATATTCTCCGCCTTAGAAGCTATAACTGCTCTTCATTATCCATATATTTTGCAACAGTTATGAGTAAAGTAAGTACATGTGAGATGTACAGATTAAAAATATAAAAAGTCTCAAAGGACCTAAAGCTTACCAATGATGGCTTTTCTCTCTTCCCGAGAGAGAACTCTTAAAATAAACTAGACATCAATAAGGAGCTTTAAGAGTTTAGTTTTGATCTCTTCTACATGAACACATCCTCAAATGTATTCCATATTATTGACAGATTTCCTTAACTGGTCTTCTGGTACCGAGCCTCATTGGGAAAATCCTTTTCATTACATGCATAAATTCGGTTCCCAACAAAAAACAACCTTCAGCTCAATACTTGAGAATAGATAGGCACATCTAGGATCGACAATGATTAGGCATGTTGTATGGATGACATGATAAACACTTCTCGATATGCTTATTCATTAAGTTTATGAGTTGTTCACGGTGCTCAAAGAAGCAACAAATATTGCTAAGTCTTTTGCTAAAGCTAAATATATTTAAGTTAGCTTAGCTTTCTAAAAAGCAATACAGTTGAAGAGAATACTTCAAGACTTTGGTGAGAAACAAGAAATTGTGGCTATCCATAGTGATAAAAACTCAATTATTAATATGACTAAGAATTCAGTTTATCATAAAAGAACAAAGCATATATATATATATATATATATATATATATATATATATATATATATATATATATATATATATATATATATATATATATATATATATATATATATATATATATATATATATATATATATATAATCCTAAAAAACTCTTGAAGTTCAAGAACATCACATTAAAGGAGAGAGTATTGAGTAATATGCTATATAAATAAATATTTGTATTAGAAACATACAACTTGAATATTCTAGAAACATGTCCCTAAGATAATGTGAATTCATGTATTAAATAATTAATAATTTTTAAAGAGCTCTAGGATTCACTATAAATAAGAGTTCTCCCTCATTTAATGAGTAAGCAAGAACAAATAGGAAAATACCATCAACAAAAATAACATACAATATGAAAATGAATAAGAGGTGCTACTTTTGAAAATAACAAATACAATGTCAACATATTACACTTTTTAATCTAGAAAAGTCCAATTTTTTAGTTTTTCCCGTTTAGTTTTATCTTCATGTGTCTATTTTAAAACCAAATATAACTAATAGAATGTCGACATTTTGTGACTTTTCAACCTCTCCCACCCACACTCTCAATGCAACAAGTTGACATTTTGCACACTCATCACACAAAATCTAAACTCAAACACAAACCTTTGAATTTGAGCAACATATAGTTTTGGAATTTTCTATTACCATGATGTTCTTATAATCTAACAATCTAGAAGCTACTTTATATAAACCATCATGATTCATGTTGCCACCAAAAGCCAGGTAAATTATTCAACTCTCTAGTCTCTAATTTTCTATTACATATATATGAATGTTTCTTCATAGACTCTTTCAAATGATTCTTGATGAATTATTCTTCTGGTATAATGCTATTATCATTATTCTCTTTTCCCTATCATGTTATTATTTTTCATTTTAGATAAAGTTTTGTCTTTTATTCTAAATTCTGTATTATCAAGATGAGAATCCAACTGGGTAGTTTTTAGTTTGGTCAATTAAGCTGGTTTGAGAATCACTTTTAATTGCAATTGTTTATTTGATTTCTTTATATATTTCTTGATCAGGACTACTCAAATTAAAGTTTTTTTTACTATTTTTGTTCTTGGTATATGCTTCTTTGCATATATTCTATAACAAATCATTGTCATAGGGTTTTAAATAAAGGTATATGACAGGCTAGTTGAGTCGCGGTGTAATGCCTCATATTTTATGTAGAATCAACACCTCTGAGAAAATGTATGTCTGTCAATGTTGGTGTCCGAAACCAACACCAATTGTACGTGTCAAGGTCGGTGTTGTATTTTTAGTGTCTGTGTCTTCATAGGTCATATTTGACTATGATTTTTAAAATATAAATCGCGACAAGGCTAGAACGGTCGTTGCGGCCACTCTTTAAAACATGGTCATTAGGTTTGTTTTGCATAAAATCAAACAAAAGTAAAAGACATTAAACACGATAAATTTCTATTAACGCGATTCAGCTAATAGTGTCTATAGTTCTTTTTTATTTCTGCGTTAAATTAGAGTTATATTCTTACAAGCAAATATATATAATTCTAGAGTTGAACCATACTCAACAATATGTTTGATTTTTTATTTGTTTAGTCTTAAGTTTTGTCAATTAAGCTGGTTTGAGAATCGCTTTTCCTTTCATTTCATCATCTAAACTGCAGTTTTTCAATCAGTTATTTATATATTCCTTGATCAGAACCACTCAAATGAATTTTTCTGACTATTTTTGTCTTAGGAATATGCTTCTTTGCATATATTCTACAACAATTAATTGATGCTTTTGAAACCACAACGCGGCTATAATTGAGCCTGCATCGGCGAAATTTGACTGCAATTCTCCGAATATCAAAGATTTATACAGACGCAGCGCAACCGCTATTTAAAATCGGGTCATTACATCTGTTTGGCATGTCTCTGATATAAATATTTGATTCATTATTTGTTTATCCTTTTTAAAATTTTCGATGGATGTTGCAGATATGTTCGACTGTTGAAAGTTTGCTGCTAAGATTGATTCAAGCAAAACACGAAAACATGGATGATGGAAATTCTGAGGTTTCTGATAAACTTTCTGATAATGTTTTATTTTCAAATCCAGAATCATGTAGCAATTTTCGAGCTTCAACATCTATGAACATGGATACTGAATTATCCAAGAGCACTACCAAAACATGCACTCACACTCACACATGCAATCCACCTGGTTTCGATTTTGATGATTCTATTCATACACACACGTGTTTTCACACACACGCTCGAGTTTTTGCTTCTGAAGATGACACGAATTCGAGGCCGAAAAGGAGTTCTGGTAATAGAGAAGCTGTTAAAAAGTATAGGGAGAAGAAGAAGGCGCAGACGGCTTGTTTGGAGGAAGAAGTTAAGAAGTTGAAACTTGTGAATCAACAACTTGTGAGGAGATTGCAAGGGCAGGCGCTACTTGAAGCGGAGTTGTTAAGGTTGAGGAACATTTTGGTTCAACTTAAGGGGAAAGTTGACTGTGAATTAGGTTCTTTCCCTTTTCAAAAGAAGTGTTTCTCTTCAAATGGTTATAAAGGGGATACTAATTTGGTTTCAACTTCTCAGGGAATTGATCTTGAGCTTTGTAGCAACGACACTTCTGAGTGAAGGTATGTCTGATGTTCGATATATAGTGTTAGATACTGTGTGTCTAGTATCGTGTCCGTGTGTCTGTTGTATGTGGTTGCGTGATATAAGATGCATACAAGTAATTACTTTCACTGTAAGAAAACATGTTAGATAACTCATAAATAACCTTACTTAATGAAGCTTGATTTCTATAATGTATAGAGTATGTATATAAAGGATGAGTTTTTTTGTTTTTTGAAATTTGTACAGTATACTAGCATGTAAGAAGTGTTTTGCTGAAGTCCATGTTGTATTGCACACATGTTTCATATAATATATGATATATCTGATTCTGCATTCATTGCAAATAAAGTTCTCAGAACAGTAGGTTATATAGGATGATGGAATCATAAGATATTTTTATGTTTCACTCTTTTTTTTTCCGTCTACTTTATCTCTTAAAAATAATAAGTGAAATATTGCGAATTCGAATTAACAATCTTAAGATATTTCACTTATTATTTTTATTGAGTATAGTATTCAAAGTGTCATCATATCCAAGTTTCGTAATTAATTATTTATTAATTATTAGTAAGTAATGATGAATTTTGATGAATTATATGATGCTTTGTGTGATTAAGGGTGTGTTGTGGGGTTTGTTAAAATTATTTAGAGTTATAATAATAAATTAGTGCATAATTGATTATCTAGAATTTCATGATAATAATAATTAGAAATAAATGTGTAGAGATTTTGAGGGTAAGATGGTAATGTTGGATGGACTAAGTGAGGGTAAGATGGGAAAATCATAATAGGGGTCTAAAGGGTAAGAGTGACAAAAAAGAAAAGAGAGAGTGGAGAAGTTCACTCTCATGCGATCGTGAAAAGTTGGAAAGAACTAAAAAAGGAGAGTTAGGGCACAGAGAACCAAGAAGTCATCCATAGAACGCAGAGACAGAAATCCATTGCTAAGAATTCGAGGTACGGGGGGTGATCCGAATTATTATATTTGATATGGGGTTTAAGGTAGATGTAGGTTTTTGTGTGTTATGTGTTGATTGTTGAAACCATGATGAAATTGTATGAATATGTTGATGTTGTGAGGTGATGAATTAGGTGTTGGTATTTGATTGAGATTGTACATATGAATGGTGCTGAACTTGTAAAAATATGCGATGCTTGCTTGATGGAAATTGAGTCTGTGGAAAAATGGTGGAAGGAGTTTTCGTATGCAGAAAATGCAACAACAAGTTGCTATTCGCAGAAAACCGTCGGGCGAGGAACCGTTTCGCCAGGCGAAGTGGTTTGCTTGGTCCTCGCCGAGCGAAAGGAGGAGCGAGCAAAGGGTGAAATAACAATGCTACTGGAAATTAGATGGGGGAGGGATTTCGCCCCTGCTTCGCCGGGCGAAACCCAGGCGAGCGAGCTGTTTTGTCGAGTGAGCGCCAGGCGAGCAAGAGCAGATGTTTTTTTTTAATTATTTTTGTGTTATCTTGTGTTTTGTTGTCCGTATGTCTTGAGTACTTGATGTGTTGTGTTTTGATGACTATAACGTGATGATTTGTGATGTAATATGAAGAATGGTGATGCATAATAATGATGTAATACTATGATGTTTTGATGAATTTTCATAAATGATGATGCAACTTTGACGAACCGTGGTGATGATTGATTATGACGTTTTGCATCATGAATTCATAGCATATTAGAACTTTGGTCCAGTGATGATGTTAGTATTCCAGTCCAGTGTTGGCTTTAATCCCATTGTGTGGATTGAGGTGTGTTGTGATGTGCTATGGTTCTTGTGTAGAATTGATCCTATTGGTGGGGATCTCTGGAGGGGGGTAGCCCAGTGTACATCAACAGGATGAATTGGTACCACATGCACGAATCTATGTTGTTGCATTTCATACTATGTGACATTGCATAATGAATGAATAATTAACGTGTGGATTATGTTGTAAATCGATTGATGTTTTAGCGATGATTGTGAGTTGATAGTGTGATGATATGGTGAATGAATCAATGATGATATTCGTGACTATTATATCTTTTCCTTATATCTTGATAATGTTTTGTGATTACTCACCTTGCCTGTTCGAATGTTGCCTCCACGTGGGTAACGTGCAGGTGATCAAGATTATCTCTCTTGGTGCGTGAAGATTAGCATTGAAATTTTTTGGTTATTTTCGTTGATTAGAGGGTCTTGCTCTAATATGTAACATCGGGTCGGGACGTTTGGGTCAAACCTTTATGTTTTAATTCCTTGTTGACATTAAGAGGCTATGAGTTTCTTGTTTCTAAGATGTTCTTTTTGAGCTACAAATTATGTTGAAATTTTGATTTTTCCATTGCGTAGTACTTGATTGAATTTATGAAGATAGAACTTGTGGTACGGAGTAGAACATTATTATGAAGTTTTATGACGAAATGTGGCACCCTTGTGGTGATGTACTCTGATATATTATTTTAATTATTGAATGTTTATTGGATAGAAGGGTGTTACATTAGTGGTATCATAGCAGGTCAGTGCGTCCGACCAAGTTTTGTATGATGTTAGTTCCCTGTCAGCCGATGAGTGTGTGTACACTGTCAATGAATTTTTTTTCTTCTAATGTTATTGATGATGTGCAGAATGGTTGGAAGAAACAACCTTGCTATTGCTGATGCGTTGGAATCACTTGCTCAAGTGATGGCTCAGAACAATCAGAATGGTGGAACTTCTGATGAGTTTCGTGCTTTGGGGAAGTTCCAGAGGAACAATCCGCCTACTTTCATGGGCACTCATGATCCAGAGGGCGCACAAAAGTGGCTCCAGGTGATTGAAAAGACCTTCTGAGTGATGGCGTGTACTAACGCTCAACGGGTGCAGTTTGGTACTCATATATTGTCAGAAGAAGCTAAGGATTGGTGGGATAATACACGTCAGAGGCTAGAGGATGTTGGCACTAAGATAACTTGGGTTGTATTCAAGAGGGAATTTTTGGGGAAGTATTTTCCTGAAGATGTTCGTGGCAAGAAGTAGACAAAATTCTTTGAATTAAAGCAAGGGAACATGATTGTGGCAGAATATGATGTAAAGTTTGAGGCACTGGTGAAGTTTTGTCCGCATTACAACTGTGCTAATGCCGAGACTTCCAAATGTCTTAAGTTTGAGAATGGGTTGAGACTAGAGATCAAGCAGGGTATTGGATACCAACAAATTCGCATGTATGTTGAACTGGTGGATAAGAGTAGGATTTATGATGAGGATAGTCGAGCTCGATCTGCTCACTATAAGCATCTTAGTGGGAAGAGAGAGAAATGACAGTTTTGAGGAAAGCCTTATGTGACTTCAGCTGACAAATGGAAACAAAAGGTTTCATATGGGAAGAAGACAAGTGGAGGAGCAGCTCCCGCTTCTGTTAAGCATTGCAGATGTGGGAAGAGAGGCCATAGAGTTACTGACTACAAGGATGAAGGTCTGACTTGTTTCAACTGTGCTGAACAAGGTCACATCAGTACCCAGTGTCAGAAGTCGAAGAAGACTGCTACTGCTGCTCATACTAATGGCAAAGTGTTTGCTTTGAGTGGTTCAGAAGTTCCTAATAAAGATAACTTGATTCGAGGTCCTTGTTTTTATTAACAATATTGAGTTGGTTGCTATTATTGATACTAGTGATACTCATTCGTTCATTTCGCGTGAGTGTGCTACTAGGTTGGGTTTGAAATTATCTGACATGAAAGGTAGTATGGTGATAGAAACTCTTGCTAATGGTTCTGTCACTACTACTCTTATGTGTTTGAGATGTCCTTTGACTATATTTGGGAAGAGTTTTGTGATGGATTTTGTGTGTTTACCCTTGCCCCAAATCGATGTAATCCTGGGGATGAACTGGTTGGAGTTCAACTATGTTCATATCAACTGTTATAATAAGATTGTGGAGTTTCCTGAGTTTGGTGATAATGCAGAATTGACGTTCCTATCTGCTACGCAAGTATATGAACTCCTAGAAGATGAAGCCTCGATTTTTTCACTATTTATATCGTTGCAAGTTAATCGTGAAGCTACGAGTTTCAAATTACTTGTTGTCTGTGAATTTCTAGAGGTGTTTCCGGATGACATAAGTGATTTGCCTCCAGAGCGTGAAGTATAGTTTGCGGTGGACTTTATACCATGTACGAGTCCGGTGTCAATGGCTCATTATCGGATGTCAGCTTCCGAGTTAAGTGAATTGAAGAAACAATTGGAAGAATTGTTGGAAAAGAAGTTTGTTCGACTGATTGTTTCTTCGTGGGGTGCTCCTGTGTTGTTAGTTAAGAATAAAGACGGTAGTATGAGGTTGTGTGTTGATTATAGGCAGTTGAATAAGGTGACTATCCAGAATAAATATCCACTTCTGAGAATTGAAGATTTGATGGATCAGTTAGTAGGCGCTTGTGTGTTTAGCAAGATTGATCTGAGGTCTGATTATCATCAGATTCGTGTTAAGCTCGATGATATTCCGAAGACATCTTTTAGGATGAGGTATGGTCACTATGAATACACTATGATGCCATTTGGTGTATCCAATGCACTCGGTGTGCTCATGAAGTATATGAATCGAACCTTTCACGAGTATTTGGACAAGTTTGTTGTGGTTTTCATTTATGATATTCTGATATACTCCAAATCTGAAGAAGAGCATGTTGGGCATTTGAGAGTTATGTTGCAAGTGTTTAAAAAGAAGAAGTTATATGCAAAGCTGTCGAAGTGTAAGTTTTGGTTGAAAGAAGTGAGTTTTCTTGGTCATGTGATTTTAAGTGGTGGAATTGTTGTTGATCCTTCTAAGATTAATGTTGTGTTACAATTAGAGACTCTGAAGTCTGCTACTGAGATATGAAGTTTTCTGGGGTTGGCAGGTTACTATCACAAGTTCATAGAAGGTTTTTATAAATTGGTTTTACCATTGACTCAGTTGACTCGAAAGGGTCAAGCTTATGTGTGGGATGTTGCGTGTGAACAGAGTTTTATGGAATTGAAGAAGAAATTGACGACCGCTCCGATTTTAATTTTTCCT